TATTGAAGCTTGAATTAATTTTCCCTAAACAAAACAGATTTTAGGTACCATGTGCAGGTACTGTTTACAAATACAACAAAATCTAAAATTTAGTGTGAGTTGAATTAAAGCCATGTATGTAAACACTGCTTTAACATTAGACTTTGTGTGACGTTAAATAATATAGCAATTATTATATTTTCATCAAATTTACTGTCAGATTTTTTAATAGTAAAATGGCGGCAATTAATTTTTTGTGTTTTAAGTTTTTATGTTAAGTCTGAGCTCCATCAGATTATTTCGGTCTTATCGTTAATTTAATCCTAAATTTTATCGAAAATTATAAACAGTAACTTACAACTTATATATTTAATTCTCTTAAGCAAATTAATAGACTAAATTATTTGTTGTTCCCTAATATATTAAAAAACCAAATTGTAGAACTTTGCGACATAACATCTGTTTGCTCTCTTAATCACTAATTATTTATAATTTTTAGCTTCCTAATTAATTATACTATTATTTTTATTGTTATAAAAAATTATAATTTTTTTTTATTTTTTTTATTGCAGGTAAGTTTAATCATTCAATTTATGGTGACCATATAAGCTTTATTATTAAGTAAATTAAAAAAATTAACAGAATTCAGAGGACTCAACTATTTTACGGTACCAAAGGTATTTTTGCATTGAAATATACAATTTCAAATATTCTATTAAATTATAAAAATATATTTTCGTTTTTTGAGTAAAAAATAAAATTTACAACTGGTTGATTTAGATAGGTTTACAACAATTTGTTAGACAATGTTATATTAATTTTATATTACAATTGATATACAAATATAGACTAAGTATATCGTACCATGGCTCACACATGAAACTAAATTATATATAACTATAGCGCTAGAGAGAAAGAATACGCACCTTTGCGCTAAACTGTTCGGATGTTATTTGTGTATTTATTTTTATAGAAATAGTAGCTCACATTGTTACGAAAACGCAACCAAAATACATTCGTTAATAGTGAAGATTAAATCATCTGTGGGAGCTTGATGAAAAAAGGGAAGATTCCTTTTGATACCATATAATATTTTACTCAATAATTTTACAAAAATTTTTTAAGAACATGTTATAAGCTCTATTTATTATAGTATGTCCTACGAGATTTTTTGATGTTCGAGTAACACTAGATACTGAAACAATCTTTGAAGCAAATAATCGCTGAAAACTGCTTTATAGTACCAATTGGAAGAAATCGTTATAACAAAATCATTAATATTTAAACCATGGGTGTTAGAAAGAACCAAAGCACGTATTTCAATCCATACTTACAATTTTTTAGCATATATTTTAGTATTTATATAGGGGCTCATTTATGAATATTCAAAATAGAATTTCTTGGAAATTTGTGCAAAAAATTCAAATGCGCTTTTTGTTTAGTTTTCGAAATTTGTCCAAAATTAAATTTATCCAAAATTAAAATTTCAATTACAATTTAACTAAAAAATTTTTCACCTAATTTTTTTTTTTAATTATTACATAATATTTCGGTAATAGATAAACCAAAATTTTTATTTTTAATCTAGTTCACCAAATCATTAATATTTTTTTCTCTCAAATTACAAAATTTTTTCAATTCTCTTAGCACAAATTTCACTACACTAAAATTTTACAAAGTCATACTGCCTCTCATATCAAACCTTTTGTTTTTTTTTGTTTTGTGACTGTGTAGAATGAATAGAAACATTTTGTAGTATAATTGGTATGTGAATCGAATCGCTTTGAAAAATGAATTTCCTTAAAACATGAAAATAGGTGGCGTTATAAATATTGCTAAATAGTTGTAAATCTGCGTTATCATTTTGTAATTTTACTTAATTTTTTATTTTAAGTAATAAATCATGTCCGTATATACATACATACTTAGTGTGGTGTGCGATACTAAACGTATATTAGTACTTATGCAACATGTGTCTGAAATAAATAAGAGATTTTTTTAAATTTTTTGTTTAGATCGCGTTGTACATTAGTGTGTAGTAAACATGTGTTTAGAATTGCCATATATTAAATTAACTACATATGTTTATGCTGTAGCTAATAGCTATAATGTTATAAAATATAAATAAATTTAATAGTCTGCTAGTTTAATTGGTTATAGAACAAAATATTATGCATCATCTTCTATTAAAAAATGACAAAACATGTTAATCAAAATTCTAATATTAATTCTTTAATTTGAAGTTCAAATCAATCAAATTTTAAAATACAATATAATTAATTTTAATTATTTTAATAATGATTTTTCTTATTTTATTAATTTTGCAAAATTATAAAACCTGATTATTAAACTATTGGTCATTTATGCCAAACAATCAAACTCCCCCAAACCTAGGCATCTAAATATATAATAAAGTACTAATTAGGTATGCTTGCAAATATATTTGTTGTCCTTCTCTATTTTAAATTAAAAATTATAGTCAGAAACTTTCAGTGGCTTGGTGATTTGACACTCATTAACTTGATTCATCCTAATTTTCTAAGTTCATTTTCAAAATATATATCCAGGTTGTTTATATTGTGTTATATATTTTAATTTAACTTAGGTTATAGAATGGTATCCCAATAGACTTCGTCCTTGAAATTTTTTTACAGGGAATTTCATTTTTACACAGTTTGGGAACTCGATTAGAAACCATTTTCAGTTTGTTGTTGAGCTTTATTTAAATTTATTTATCAACCGGTTTTCTTTAAAATACAATTTCCTTAAATATATACCTGCCAGCTTGAGCATCATTATTTCCACACACACTTCAAGAATAATTATAGGATAGTATTACAAACGAAATCATAAATTTATTATATACTTTATACTCCTTGAAATTTATGATTGAATGAAAAGTTTTAAAACAACATTTACTTTTTCATGATGGTAAATGGTACTTGCATTTTATTTTTATCCGTTCAATTTTTAATTCAAGGACGATAAAGTGAAGGATGATTTATAGGACAATGAACTCCAGAAAATTTGCTAATATTATTAAGGAAATAAAGCAGAAATTAAACAAGTATATTTGAATTTTTTTTTGTTTTGATTATTTTTTTTTACATTATAACTATAGAAGTTCAGTAAAGTTTCCTGTTAACCATGATTTTATGATTTTCATATTAAAAATTTTGAAAGTAGTTTATTTACAAATTTTAAAATTTAATAATGTATATTCAATGTAAGAACGATAAAATTAAAGTACCTGTTTAATATTTTTACATATACTTAATCTTAGTTTTCAATTTTTAAGTTCCATGTCCAGTGTCATTAAGGAACAATTTGAAAAGTTGTTCTAAAAAATTTGACGGTACTGTTATTGAAAACCTGTAAATTAATTTTAAGGAAGTACTTTTAAGTACTAAAATTTAATAATTGTCTTTTTTTTGACCTTAATTGAACTTTTAAATAAAATCACTAGTTAAATTATAATTAAAATATTTATGTTTGTAATGAATTATATTGTTTAAGTACAACTGCCCTTAAAGAATTCTTGTTAATTGCTGTCAAAATATAAAATATATTTTATGTAATTTTTAAATACAAAACTTGTTTAATATAAAAATTTATTTTTGCAATATAAATTTTATTGTGATAATTATCGGCAGATTAAAATGGCTTACATCAAAAATGATCATACTCCATAAATTCTAATAAAAAATTATTTTACGTTATGATCGTTCAATAACTTTGCCTTCAACTTTTAAAAATTTTAGAAATTTTTTATATTAATGTAAACTCTCAGTTATTCTGTTAAAGTTCAAAAGTATGCAGAGTAGCTTTGTTTTAGGCAAATGTCTCAAAGATTGCAGTCATAACTATTTGAAACTCTGACATTAGCATTTGAAATGTTAAAAAAACAGGAGTTTCACTGTCTGAAACGCTATTTTTAATGACAAATGGTTTAAAATTAAATTTCTGTCTTGAAGGTTATTTTTATTATAATTATAACATTTTATTTCCATGCTCGTAGAGTAAAAGTTTTGAATCAAAAGCCGCTATTCATCTGAACGTTGAATAAACTTAACCATAAAATTTTGCTATAACTGTTAGGTATAAAAAAAATACGATTCCTTGCTTAAAAAACAATTACTCTTCCAATTTAGAAATAATTCTAAATCTCGTTATTTCTTTCATTACTGTTTTTCAATTGAACTGCAAGTGCTCTAATTACAAATCTACAAATTTAATATTTTTTCTAAAACATATTTTACAAAAATTCATAACCTTATTGTGTGACAATTCTGTTATTAGCATTAATTCATATATAAAAAAAACTGTAACAAACAACAAAAGCAAAATGAGAAAAGCTCTAACAATTAAATAATTTTTTTATTTCAAATTTTTAACATAAAAATATTCTCACTTTTTCTCTCACAAACAAAAAATATAGTAAAAATTTTTTTTAATTTTACTCTCATTTAAAATTTTATTTAATTAAACTCATTTATTCAAAAAGAAGTAAAAAGATCTCAAATTTTATCGATTTCTGCAATTCAATTTCTTATGCACTTTACCACACTTACTCATAATCACAACATAATTCAGATCATATTTTTTTCCATACATACTGTCATGTCATTCTACTTGCATGCACACATACTTTTATGCTCTTAATTTATAGAGCAACATAAAAAATAAATTATTGCATTTTCATACTAACACTGATAAAATAAAAAAAAATTTCTCACCATGCTATAATTTTTTTTTTCACCATACTTACTTGAAAATTTTTCAATATTGAGCTTTGTAGGTAGGTTAATTTTTTTAAGTAAGGCTTTGGAAATGAAATCCAATTTTTCTCCTAATATTATTTTTGTTTTTTCTTTTTTTTTCTTTTGATTTTTAAATATTTTTATTGTAAATGTAGTAGTAGATATTGTGTTCAATGTATAAGATAGGATTTTGATAATAGAACGGTAACCATTATATTTGTTGAAAAAATAAATATCAGTTACTTTGTGTCCGTCGTGAGATTTTGTTGATTTATTTTGTACGCGTTATAAATTAACGGTATTTTAGTATATAAAAATAATAACTAAAATAAAAATATTTTTAGTTATTTTTTTGAATCGGTAACAATTGAATGTGTTTTTATTTTTTTTTGGAAATAAAGGTACAAAAATTAGGAATAACGAAAAAAGTTTATAAACATTTATTGCTAAACATTTTTTTTTCCTAAAATTTATTTTTAATTAACAGCAAAAATATACAAATTTTTTGTGAATTTTCGAAAAAGAGCAGTGAAGAAAAAAGAAAACAAATGATTTATTTTTTTTTTGTTTGCATAAAAAGTTAATTTTGAAAAAAAAAATTGAAATAGAAAAAAAAAAAAGTAAAAATTAAAAAAAATTATTAAATATAAAATCTTTTTTTTTTCTTTGTATCTTATGAGATAAAATTAAAGCAAAAAAAATTAAAATTGCAAATTTTTATGTTACGTCTGAATATTTTGATTTAATTAGTATAAGAAAAGTAGTTATAATAACGATGTTGATTAATTTTGAATAAATTAAAAAATTATAAAAAGAAATAGTGATTAAATAATATTTTTAGTGATAATTTTTCTAATTATGTTGTAAGCAAAATGGGTATAATCTTTAATTTTGTTTTTTAAATATGTAGATGAACTGTGAGTAATTTTTGGAATAAGCACTCAAGTAATCGAGAAAATATAATTGAATTTGATTGGATATTGGAGTAAATTAGACGAAATTGTGGGGGCTAAAAAATTTTATAAATTACAAAAAGTTCTGACTACCAAAATTCTTTTATTTAGGAAAATTTGATAATGTTTATTTTGAAATGTGCTTATTATAGCATTTCTTTAATTGAAAAGATTTATTTATTTTAATAAAATTTCTTAATAAAATTTCAATTATTCAAAACCCAATTATTTTTAAACTCAAAAAATATTAATTAATCTTCAATTAAATAATGTTGGTAATAAAACAAATAAATTTATAAAATTCAATTAAAAATAGATTAAGTATTTTTTTTTTTTTTGGATTTTCTGGACAACACATTATAAATATTGTTAATTAAGGCCATAATTATTAATTCTGGGAAAAAGATAAATTAATAATGATTTATTATTTAGAAAATCATTAATATAAATTTCTTTTTAAATTTTAATTTAAAATTCTACTTTGTTTCAGAAATAAAATTAGGCCTAATTGGTAAAATTTTCAAAAATTAAATAAAGTTCTTTAAATTTTATAAAAATATTATTACTAAAATATTTATGTGATTTAATGTATATTCGACTCATGTTTTTTCTGAAACTCAAGTGTTATTTTAACACATTTAAGTACACGTTTTAAATTTCTTTATGATAAATGAATTTAAAATTATTTAAAAAGTAAAAATAATTAAAGCACATTCTCTTTTATTTTCGAATTAATTTCATAAACAACGTTTAATAAATTAGGTTTTTATTTTTTTGAGAAAAAAAAACACAAGAAAAATGTCGATCCGGTTTTTTTTTGTTGCTCAATATTCTTTTTTTAGTTTTTTCAACTGTATACAATTTCAACGCGTTTAAAATTGAACTATGATTGTAGTTTTCAAATAAATTAATAATCACTATAAAGAATATAATATAACGCATTTAAATATTCTTATAAGGATTGAATTTAGGAGGCAAACTATTATAAATTTGAACTCAATTTTACTTTTCAAATAAAACGAAAGATAAGTTCTTCGTATACAATTGCAAATTATTTGGATAGCGCAATTTTCCATTGACTAGATCTTTGCTCTTCTTTGAACGCTAATATTCTATTTACAACATTCTTTATCCAGAAAATCAAATTCAGTAATTTCTTAAATTACCTTTAATCATATGAAAAATTAAACTATATAAGTATATGTATATTATTAATAAATTTTTCTTCTATAATATATAAATTGCAATTTATCCGCACTTAAAAGAGAGTGCAGATATAAAACACATTATTATGCCAATTTACCAATTATTTACCAATTTACAATTATTATAGAGAGTACAAATTTCTATAGTTAAGAAAAAATAGGAGTTTTACGATATTATTTTACTTTGAATTCAATTAAATTAGATTCTGTAATGATATACTGTATTTTAATGAGTATAACTAATTACTCTGTATTTTCAACAGAATTTCACATATAATTACATATTTTTTTCTTAATAAATTTTACAATTTACTTAATCAGAATTACATGGATTTATTATTACAAATCAAGTTTTTTTTCTATATAGAGTTAATATGGAAAAAATAATTTTCAAATAGGCAAGAACATTTAGTATAAAAAAATTAAATATACATAATACATGCTTTAACTCCTAGAGTACAGAAAATTTTCAATTACATATAGAATAATATGATTACATAAATAAAATGTCTACTATAAACACGTAAATTAAATTAAAGTACATACCATCTGACCAATACAACTCAACTTATACACTAATTATGTCAAAAAATTTAAAACTGTTATATACATACCTAATTGCAAATAATTAATTTTTATTTTTACAATTTTACAAACATATATTTTTAATTATAATATTTCCCGAAAATGTGTTAATTATATAAAATATGGGTTAGTAAGAAAAATATGATCAAAATAATAACAAACTTTAAAATCGAAATACCGGAACAGATTTTTAATTAAGCGTTTGCTTTTATATAAATACCAGTGCGCATGATTATATAACATACGAGTATGTACTACAAATTATGATAATGAAAAATATTTTATATTATATATAAAATATGGATAACATTCAAAACCATCATTTAATTTAATTTCTTCTATTTGTAAATTGAATAGAGAAAAAATCTATTCAAAATGTTACATAAACAGAGCACCTATACGTACTCACAAGTATATACTTTACATATAGTATCAGTTACATATACATATTGTATTTACAAATAATAAAATTTTATTCTATTAAAGAAATTATAATAGCTAATAAATATATGTGTATATATATACATATACAATAATTTCTATTGTAAATAGACTAAACACATTTTTCTGTTATATAGAAATTGTAAACACTATACAAAATATAAGTATGACCATTGCCTAATAATTCACACTTTTTTTTTTGTTCTTTCTTTTACTTATAGACAATTTATATAGAACGTCGTCACATTCCCATAACATTATGGTATATTTCCGCTATGAATAAATCAAACAAATTGAATAAAAACCGAATAAATTTAATTTTTTAAGAATTTATTTCGTATCTATATAATGTCACTCAATTCCTAGCATGTATAAAGTGAAATTTAGTATTTATGTACGGTAGTCATACATATACATCTGTGTATATACATAAATTTTATAAAGTAGACTGATCTTATAATATGTTTCTGAATTACTTGTGCGTTATAACTTATGAACTTAAAATCGCATTTTCACACGGTTGATCATTACTTGTTATAAAGTATATACATACACATAAATATATAATTCACATTGCTGAATGAGTTGAAAAATCAAAAGTCATTTGGAAAAATTAATTTTTTTACTCAATATTTTGAACACTTAAGATCAAATTGTTTCAGAAAAATGTAAAATAATAAAATATTTTAATTACAACCATTATTTTGTATAAAATATATGGCATTGCGTTATAAGCTGTTAAAACGAGTTGATTTAATTAACTTACTTTTCATTTTCTTCAATTTACAACAACATTCTTCCATTCCATTCAATTTATATTATTGATTCCAGTATTATAGAATACTGGAATACTTAAATGAACGTGATAATAATCAAATATTTCGTATTACTGCTTCAGAATTCCGAAATTAACCGATCATCAGACAAACATAATTTAAAATCGTTTCTACTTCCAACAACGTTCCTTTGGAATTACAAGTTCGAATCCTTTACGCCTATAACTCTGCAATTTTGAGATTGTTCACCCGTATGCTCCTCAAGTCGTGTACCCTGCATAAGTCATTTGTATAGCCGTACATAATTCATTTTGTAAAATTATTACTTACTTGCATGTCATTGAGTATTCTTATAACAAAAAAAAATAATAATTATTCACTTTTACGCTAGCGTAATCAAAGGCATTCACAAGTTCTTTGTTCTATATGCATACTTTGCATTTTGAGTTTATCATCTTAATTTTATTACTTTGAACTTTATACGAAATTCTTTAGAATATTAAATTTTATTGACTACTTAATTGATTCATTAATATTATATACATACATATTGTATGTAATCAATATACATATATATTGATTACATTCGAAGAAAAAGTTCCCTATACATTTTATAGAATTTAAATAATTTAGCATTAATTTATTTTCTGCTTTGTATGTACATAGTTAATTAAAATGTAATGTGCGTCATAATAGTGAATATTTTATATAGATATTATTGTAATTTATAATTAAGTTTAAAATCAGATTAAAATACATTCAAAGATAAAGAAAATGCAAATGTGATTTGAAATGATTGAGTAATTTGGCACTAAATAATCTTATTTCTTAATCAAATTTCAATCATAATCGGATTCGTTTTCGAACCTGCACACATTGTTATTAGGATGCATCGAGGCTGCGTTTAAACCTTTAAATTATATTTAATTTAACAATTTTTTTTTTATTTAACAATCACAAAATTTTAAAAATTAAATATGTCACGAAATTTAAGAGGTAAACTTTGAAAAACAAAAAATATAATTATCCCAATTTTAGTTATTTTCATAATTTTTATAATTTTCTATAATAATTTTTTTTTGATTTCTACATCCACATATTTTGTAATACATAATATATACTAAAAATATAATCAATAATTTTCTCATTTTCACAATTACAAATTATGGCAGAAGCATCATATATGAGATAATATTTCTCATGCACAACATAACTATGAAATTTAAAAGGAAAAAAAAAGAGTAGCCACGTGAAATTTTTTGTTTTAAATTTTATAAAAATTTTTTAACCCTTTCATTGACATTTGAATTTTCTTTAAACTTATTATTATTCAAATATTATACTTGATAAATTATCCTGTTGGTACCGGGTTTTATATTAATTCTACAGAAGCAATTAGAGCAAATCGTTTTGAAGATTTCGAAACTTTTTGTGTTAGGCT